TAAATGAAATTAAATAAATAATTCCTAAAAACATAAATGAGGAAATAAACTAAAAAATAAAATCTATAATTTAAAGAAGGGGGAAAATAAGTAACTTAATCTTAAAGATTTAAAGAGACACATATATGAAGAAAATTATTTTGAGTTAATCAAAGAGCTTTAGAAAAGCTCTTTACAATAAACACATTACTTTTGAAAGAAAAACATGTATGATATTAGTATTTACATGATAAGATGGAACTCATATAAAAAAGGCTGAATCTAAGAAAGAGTAAAGCTTCTCCCCCACTCCAAGGAATTCTTGAAAAACTTACAGAACACCATCAATACCCTCCCACACACACACCTTTTTACTCTCTGAAATATCTGTCAGACATCCCAGAAGCAACACTAGATAGACAGCTGGCTATCAGAACCTGGAGTTCAAGGAAGAGATAGAGGTAAAGATAATAAATTTAGGAATTGTCAACACAAAGATGGCACCTACAGTCATGAAGCTGGACAGGATCACAAGGGGCATGAGTAGAGAAAGAAGAGATCTAAGGACTCAGCTCCAGAGAACTCCAACATCAAGAAGTTTTGGGGGGCGGAAAAAGTGGAACTGGCAAAGGAGTGTAAAAAATGACAGTAAATGGGACCAAACACAGGGAGGTGTGACATCTTTGAACCAAGTGAAGTCGTGTATCATGGAGAAGACAGTGACGGGTCACATCAGTTGCTGCTGCCAGTAAAGAGCTTGACTACTGAGAGCTGACCGTTGGACTGCCCACTGGACACAGCAACAAGACGACCATTAATGACCTTAAACAAAAGCAACTACAGTGGAGGGGGGGCAAAGGCCTGATCGGAGAAGCTCAAAGAAGCATTATGAAGAAAGAAATTTGAGATCATAAATACAACAGATTTTTAAATAATTTTTACTGTTGGTAGGAAGAAAAGAACATGCCGAAAAGGAATGGCTGTCTCATTGGTGATGGTGGTGGGATTTTTGTTTTGTTTAATTATATAAGGATTAGGTTGTCCAAAAGTCATGACATATTTTTCTGTGCAAAAAGGCATCATGACTTTCCCAACAACCCCACATTTCATCTGCTGATAGAAATCAAAACTAACGTTAACAAGAACTGGAAGAATTGTTCGAGCAACAATTCTGGAATCACAGAGAGAAGACAGAAGAGGGAATGGAAATGACTGGACGGAGAGCACTTAAGGACACATTCGCAGGCCCCCGGTCGTCGGTTCACTTACTGCAAAGCGAAGTGCACACCCTCCCTGACTAGCCCCAAAGACTCAGCTATAGCATCGAAGGAAGAAACAGCATTCATTGTTTGTGTATCCTTGGGCTGTGACCTGACCTAAACTTTTGTTTTAACAAATCTCCTATGATAAGCTTTTATTATACAAACATGGAAAAGCCTTATCTAAAAACCTTCGCTGCCAAGCCTGGGCTGGCAAGGAATTACTGTGCTGACGGTGATTAAAAAATAAATATTCTTTTGAGTACCATGATTTTCCTTCGTGCTACTTGAGGACATAGACATTAATGCCAGAGAAACAGCAATACATTTTTTTTTCTTTTACTTCTTCCTCATGGCAAAGTTGTTTTTTTTTTTTTTAATAATTTTAAGTAACTGAAAGTCATAGGATGAAAATAAATAACTAGCCTGTGAACACAGAGAGTTTGCCTAAAGCCTCCATCACAACAGAGTTTATTCACTGAAAATTCCCACACATGAAAGGGAATATTCTTCTGTCTCTACTAGTCCCTCGTTTTAGCTCTGTCACCCACTTCATCCTCAACCCACTGTTCTCTTCATGATCCAAGTAGCCTTGGATCAACAATAAAATGCTCTAAGATTATTTCTGAAACAACGTCGGTTAGAATGTCTCCAGACTTCGGCCAAGATGAAACTATCACTGCTCGGCTAAACATAGTGACCGAGACTAAACAGCTTAGCATAAGCACACAGCCAAGAAATGCAACGGGTAACAGTCTTCCAGGCCAGGGATAGCACAGTTACACTGGCCTCAATGTTCTTCCTAATTGTTTTTAAAAACAACTCTTTCGTAACATTCAATAATACTTATATATTCAATAATTCTAGTAGCTTACCGGTCAGCAGCTTCTATGTCAAAACAAAACCGTCGGTCAATGGAGTCAGTATGCCTTTTGGTGCATTCTTTCAAAAAGAACACCTCTCCATCTCCCTGCAAATAAGCATTTTAAACATTCTCAAAAACTACAATATAAACATATACACACATTGAGGTACCCTATACTGACAGGCAGGGGTGCCAAGGTTCAAGATTTTAAGTTCCTTCTCTTTATCTGATTTTTCTTTCAAACTAGTTTATTTAAAGACTACTTAGAAGGACCAGCAGATGGTGTAATGCCTATGTCGCTGGACTCTCATGTAGTCAACCATGGTTCAAGTCCCAAACCTGGTGGCTTAACTCACAGCAGGCACATGTGCGTGCATGCCCAAGATCCCGAGAAAAGAATGGAGGAGAAGGGATTGCAGCAAGGCCATCTCCCCTGGGGGGCCGGGGAGGCAGGGGGGTGATTTCTCACTTTCTGTCTCTCTGTCTCTCTCTTTCTGGTGAGTGCACGCACCCTATTGCAAAACCTCTCTAAAAAAAAACTACTTATAATCTAAAATCTTCATCTCCTATTAACATTTTCTAGATAACAGGAACATTAAACTAGGCCTCACCAATGCTAATTTTAAGACACAGAAGAGGTAGATTAACAATACAGTTTCTAGATCCTATAATGTTTATTCTTCTCTTATCATGACTTAATTATTTCATTTATTTTTTAAATTTGCTAGAGGGTGTGTGTGCTTGCAGGAGAGAGACAGAAAATGAGAAAGCACCCCCACACACACACATGGGGAATGGTCACACCAAAATCCCTTCTCCTCCATTTCTCCCTTCTTTTAGGATTTTAGGCAGTCACAAATGGCCATGCCAAAATCCCTCTGTGTTCCATTCTCTCCTGGGATTTTGGGCACGAACACACACACGCCCAGTATGATTTTCGAGCCACCAGGTCCGGACTCAAATCACAGTCAGCCATGTGGGAGTCCAGTGCCTTACCCACTAGACCACCTGCTGGCCCCTTACCTTTCTTTCCTAAAATGTGTTACCAACTCCATTCACCATAGGTGGGAAGGGCTTTGATCCCATGCTATTGATCATGACGAGCTGCAGGATCTACTTAAAACATATAAAACTCACTTTTTCTATGCAGCCAACTCTTGTGGTCTTGATCTTTTTCTTACTATCATGCTTTGCTTTCCCATTAATTCTTTGGAAGGAGTACCTAAATGGGAAGTACCTACATGAGAGCTTTGTTAGTCTACCTGAGCAGTGCAACTCACTACAGGTCACTCAGCTTTATAATACTTTCACACTATGAATGTATGTGTGCAAGTCAGATCTCCTGTGTAAATGCTGAGTGACCATGAAGCCAACAAAAGCTTATTGTAGATATTATCCTTACCTTCCAGTCACAGTAGCATAAAGAGAATCTGTTTTCTTAATTAAAATAATAATAATAATAATAAGCCATTAGTCCACCTCATGGCATGGTAGTTAAGGATCCCATATGGTCAACTGTGCGGCTTAAGTCCCCGACCCAATGGCTTGGAAAAAACACCAGCCACATGCATAAATGTGCTCAAAATCCTAAGAGAAGAAGGGACTGTGGTGTGGCCATCTCCCTGCAGGGTTTTTTCTCACTTTGTCTTTCTCTCATTCTCTCTCTCTCTCTCTCTGGCAAGTATATGCACCCTCTAGCAAAATTTTTTAAATTTAAACTAAATAAGATATATACATATTCATATGTATATATACACATGCAATTTATTTTATATAAATATATTTATACATTTATAAATAAAAATATACACATATAGTTGAAATGATACCCTGAAGCACTACCTCTCACACACTCTATCCTATGGAGAGTCAAACACATACCAGCTTCCCCCCAGATCTGTGTTCAAATGGGATCATGTTGAACTTCTTGGCGGCTTTCCGGTACATGCAGTAGTGTTTGACCCAGCTGGAACCAAATGGAGCAGGCCCTTCAACAAAACACAGATTTCGTATTTTTCCCCATAAATATGCAATATGCAGAGCTTTAAACCCACTACTAAAGAGGAGACGCCCAAAGAGCTGCAACTAATACAGCTCTGGGAAACACATCAGCAATACCGTGGTTCTAGTCAAGGAAAACCTAGAGAAAATGAGAAGACAAGATTCTAAGACATTTTTAGCACTACAAAGTGATTCAAACAAATTTTTTCCTAGAAAAATATTAGCTGCAACTGAAAAATGCTTCATTGTAAGCTCTACTTTTGGTTATTTCAGGGGTTAAGACTTCAAGGGTTTGAAAAGTTCCATTCTGTAGAACAGATGGCTTTGGATTCAGTTCTGCCCTCCTACCATGACAGAACTGTAGAATAACAGTGCTAAGCAGCAGCATCTAGCTACAAATCCACCTAGTACTCCAGCCCAGTACAGCACCTCGGTGAGCAACTGCTCTCACTGATAATGGCAAAGCTATTTGAGAAATGAAGTATGGGGGCCAGTGGGTGGTATGGTGGTTAAGGCACTGGGCTACCACATGGTTGATTACAGTTTGAGTCCTAGACCCAGCAGCTTGAAAAAAAAATCACACCAGGCACGTGTATATGGATGCCCAAAATCCTGAAGGAGACTGGAGGAAAAGGGACTGCAGCCCGGTCATCCCCCCAGGGGGTGATTTCTCACTCTGTTTCTCTCTGGCAAGTATGCATGACCTATAGCAAAAAAACTAAAAATAAATAAATAAAATAAGAAATGTAAGCCTCATGAGGCCAGCAGATGGCATAATGGTTACATTGCTGGGCTCCCACATGGTCAACTGTGGTTTGAGTCTCAGACCCAGAGGCTCGAAACTCACGTGTATGTGTGCCCAAAACCCAAGAAAAGAATGAAGAAGAGACTGCCATGGCAGGTGGTGGGGAGGATTTCTTGCTTTCTGTCTCTGTCTCCCAAGTGAGCACACATGCCCTACAGTAAAGTCTCTCAAAAAAGAAAGAGAAAAAGGAAAAAAAGAAAAAGAAATGTAAGCTTTATGAGGGGTGTGCTGTCCATTTAGGCACCAGGGCATTCTCAGAACCTCTTAACTCTTGCTAAGTCAACAGTACGACCGCCAAAGCTTTAAAGGACAGTAGTCTGCATCAGGCAACTTGGCATGTTGTGATTTCCCATGCTAATAAAAGTCTAATTATAACAAATCAAAGGTTAGACCCAACAGAGGTTGATCGTTTTTTTTTCTTTTATCAAGTGAAGAGTATTTTTAAAGTAATTAACATCTATTATTATCACCATTATTTTACACACAAATAACCTTCTACACCTAAAAATCAAAAAAGGACAAACTCAAGAAAGAAAAAAATACTCATTTAAAAGGAGTACGTTTAGACCCAGCCACAGTAGCATGTGCTAGCAGATACTGCCATTCTGCAGGCTGAGGCCACGTGGGAACCCTGGGTTTGATTCCTGGCTCACCCTGAAAGCCAGGCAAGGTAGTCCCAGCTACTTAGGAAACTGAGGCAACAGGACTGCAACACAGAAAGGCTTCTTTTTTTTTTTTTTTTTTTAAGGAATTCAGTTTCTTTAGGAAAGCTGCTAACATTATTTGGGAGTTGGGAAAGAGACAAAAGGGGTTCCTAAATTGCAATAAATTTCATTTCAAACCATCTGTAGTCCATAAATTTGAATTTGGGAACTAGTGCTATGTGTGTGTGTTACATATACCTAGCATTTGTACTGTGTTGTATGGGTCATAAAAATACTGCCCAAGTATTTCATTTACTACTAATTTAAAAACCTTAAGAAATGGGTGGTATATTATGTGATTTTACGTTTAAAAAAAAAGGAGGTTAGACCAAAGGCCTGAGAAATGACAAAGACAAACCTCAAATCAATCTCTAAACCCAAATACCAAGGTGTTTCCACTAATTAAGCCACCACCCCTTTTTTTAAAAGAGATTTTTGCTATAAGGCATGCATACTCACCAGAGAGAGCAACAGAGAGACAGGAATGAGAGAGAAATCACCCCCACCCCCCCAGGTAATGGCCATGCCACAATCCCTTCTCTTTCATTCTCCTCTTGGGATTTTGAGCACGCATACACATGTGCCTGCCATGAATTTCAAGCCACCAGGTCTGGGACTCAGGTGGCGTGGAGGGAAAGACGCTGGATTCCTACATGACCAACTGCAGTTCCAGTCTCAGACTTGGAGACTTGCTTTCTCACTTTTTCTTTCTCTCTCTTTCTCTGGTGACCACATGTGCCCTGTAGCAAATTTTAAATGATAATAATAAATAATTCTTTAAATAAAAAGCTATTTTTATAGCCATGTGCAATCTCAGTCATTTTAGTGAGAACAAACCATCTCAGAGTGGTGTGGATAAAAATGCTATGAATGAAAAAATGGAGTATTTCTCTCTTGACGTTAGCATGAAAGAGTTATATATACACTGGGTCGTCAGGAAAGTCATGACATCTTCTTCTGTTTTTCCATACAAAAATGCTTTGTGGCTTTTTCCAACGACCCCATAGATGTGTACGTGTTGGTGGTGATAAGGATAAGGGTAATGGGGATGGAGGGAAAAGTTAATGTCCTCATAACTCTGCTTCACTGACCTTACACGGAACTCTGGCTCCCTTAACGAGCCACAAGTCTGTGGGCGCAGTATAGGACCGAGTGCCGACAGCCATGGCCACTCCGAATCTCACTGCTTTCTCTCTACAACTGGGACGTGCCTCCCCAAATATGCAAAATATACCTTCCAGGACAGGAGGGGGATAAAAGTGGCCGGAATAATGTCCCAGCATGTCAAGGCGATTACAACAGCAAAAGCAAAGCTTTAACTCGTTTGGATTTCAGGCAGCCGTTCCACCACTGGCTGAGGGCCTCTTACTTTTCTCCTGTACATACAGGTAGCCTTCGGCCGTAAACTGACTCGCACGCTTGTGGTCCTTGGGATTCTGTCTGATTTTGTTCATAAGTTCTTCCACTTCGGACCTCGTTCCTTCAAATCGGTTCCGTGTCTGAAATGAATGAGATACCCATATAAATTTGTAAGTTCTCATATGAGCTTTTTTGTATACATTTTGAAGTCTTTGAATAACTATATTTGTAGTACATATTATTTTTAACTTCCCGAAATATCCTCTTTCTTTCTAGTGTGTCTCCTTATTAAGGTTCACGATCAAAGGGGGATAGGGAACAGTATAAAATAGCTAATAGAGGAGGATAAGCCAAAGCACCTAAGGGTTATTTACCTTTGAAGCATCTAACACCATAAATAATTCTTTTACCCATCATGAAAATTCTTGCCTTCGGGTCTCACACTATTACTCTATCTTACCTGATATGTATATAAAATAGATCATAAAATATCTACCTCAGAAGTATTTTCTATGCAACAACAAATCTGACCAAAATTGTTACTTAGACTAACACTTGGAATCAAAACTTAATCCTTCTGTGCAAACTAGTAACTATGACTGTCCACTTGTCCAGGTAATGGCACTGAAAATGACATCTCTTCCATGAAGAAGGAAGGGGCAAAAATCTCACCTACAAATAATCTCTTTGCAATCTGAAGAGACAAACCCCGGTTCTGAAACCTAGGAGACTTGATATGCCAATCTCAGTCAAGCTGCTGGCTACCCTGAAAACACATACGCATGGTGAAGTGAGAAAATGACAGAAGCAACTGTCATGAGTCAGCAGGTTTCTGGACATTTCTTTCATCCCTACTCAAAAATAATTGTGTTAATACCGAAAAACTGCTGATGTGAAATTGCGGAGGAACAGAGATTAAACATTACTACTGAAATCTCTCCTCTCCTCCTTACGATAAAACGGGTTACCAAGGGTCTTAAGAGTGGGAAAATAAGGGGCCTGAGGAGTCTGATAAATGTAGATTGTAAAAGGGGAAAAGCTATCTGCAGAGGTTAATTTAAACACAAACCAAGAGCTTTCAGGCAATCTACACACGTACTGGAAGAAAGGACAGGCTGTGGAGAGGGTAGAATGAGTCCGCGGATGGTCAGACTCTTCTCTCCTCCCCTCTCCTGTCTCCAGGGTTTTGTGCCCCCGTTTTTACACTGATTCCACTTCGACTGTATCCCCCTCTTCATCTCTCTACTGGGATTTCTTCCAAACGTGTATATAATATATAGACATATACACGCATATGTCAAGGTACTTCAAAAGTCCAGGGGGACCAGCAGGTGGCACAACAGTTAAGATGCTGAACTCCCATGTGGCCAATCGTGGTTCAAGTCCCAGACCCAGTGGCTTGAAAACCATGTCAAGGACATGTGCATAAGTATCCAAAATCCCAAGAAGAGAATGAAAGAGAAGGAATTGTGGGATGGTCATCCCCCGGGGGGGTGATTTCTCACTTTTCCTGTCACTGTTTGTCTGTCTGTCTGTCTCTCTCTCTCTCTCTCTCTCTGGCAAGTGCACATACTCTATGGCAGGAAAACAAAACAAAACCAAAAAAAAACTTTAAAAAGGGAGCCAGCAGTTAGTGTAATGGCTATGTCGCTGGATTCCCACGTGGTCGACCGCGGTTCACGTCCCGCACCCAGTGGCTTAGAACTCACGCCGGGCGCGTGTGCGTGCGTGCCCAAGATCCTGAGAGGAGAATGGAGGAGAAGGGATTGCGGCGTGACCATCCCCCCTGGGGGGTGATTTCTCGCTTTCTGTCTCTATGTCTCTCTCTGTCTGGCGAGCACACACGCCCTATAGCGAAAAAACCTCTCAAAAAAAAAAAATTAAAAAAACAAGTTCATGAAAAAAAGGAATTAAAGTATGATTAATTTTGGTGCAAAAAAACTTAAATTTATGCATAATACATACTTTCCAGGAACTCTTTTGAAGAACTCCACATATGTGTGTGCCAGATAGGTTCAGGTGCTTACACACAAATACACACTCACTCACCCCCGTATTTAACCCGATGAATTCTAGTCAATACCTCATAATCTATGTTAGTGCTCGAGTTGTCCTAAATTTGAGCAGCAAGAGTTCCCATGTCCTTTTACACATCCCTCAATTCCCTGAGTTAACTCCTTATTTTCTGTCAATAACTTATCCCTGCTTCATCTTACATTGTCTCTGCTCCACTGCTGGCATCAGTCAGTTCCCCAAAGCAGGCCTAGTTCCTTTCAGTGGAGGGTAGTACTTAGAAGCCAAGATGTTGACAGTACACTCAGAGCAGGGTCGGGGGTGGGTGTAATTATTTGCAAGTCTCAGCAGACTTAGGAAATATGTGTGTGCACATAAACATTCTTCCTTATATATTAATATACAAACCTCCGGCTACCTATGTATCTGTGTATTATTTTAAAGAATTATTTATTTAATTCCATTTGTTGCTATTGTTGTTATTATTTAATTCAACCAGACAGAGAGAGAGAGAGAGAGAAAGAAAGCAAGAAAGCAAGCCGCCAGGTCCGGGACTCAAACCACTGTTGGCTGTGTGGGAATCCAGCGCCTTTAACCACCACACCACCTGCTGGCCCCTGTATCTATGCATTTTTAAACCCATGACTTCGTGTCAATAATTCTAACTGCACTTCAAGGCTCCAGGTTTCTTTCTAACCAAGGTCTTTCCAAATCTGTACATTGCTTCTAGCACAATGAGAAACCTAGCTCAACATAACCCATCTATCGCCCCAAATACTCCAGCTGCCTCTACTGCATGGCACCTTTGTCGCCCTGTCACCACCCACCCTCCCTGCTGCAGACACCTACACACAGTGCCCTGCTTCCTTGGAGGACTCTGCCCAGGAGGGAAAAGTTTAACTATTCTTTAAGTTATGTTCAGATAAATTATGAACTGTGACAGAAATTAAATCTAGCCATTCCCAATTCTAAGGCATACGAAAATGTCTTCTAATTGTGATCATGTCGGACTGGATAGTACAGCAGGTAATACTAAAGAGCACTCAGGCTGTGACTGGCAGGATGGAAAACACCTGTGCTTCAATCCGCACCGTAACCTACAAGGCTGGCCACTGTCTGGCGCCACCCGATGCTGATACAGTGCCATTCCTGCCCTGCTTCTGTCCCTTGCCTTATGTGTGTCAGAAAGCACAAATTGCCAAACCAGCCTTATGAATTTGGCCTTCTACAGCAAATCGTTGATGATAGCACATATCTGGGAAGGGAGGTGTCGTTTGGGGACTAACCTGGGATTCCAACATATTTCAGTAAATCTGGAAAGCTAGGAGGTCAGGCTGAGCCACTCAGTGACAGGAGCTGGGGAGGAGGAGAGCTAGGAGCTGTGCGTTCCAAGTTTTACCCAGAAACAAAGCTTTACAGGCAGAGGCCGAAGACTGACTCCAAATGCAGCTTGCCATTTTTTCACTTATGTTTTCCTGTCCTGGACCCATAATCTAATTCAAGGAGCTAAAAAAGGCAGTGTGATGAAAAATAGGAAGAGAGTTTCTTCTATGGGTTTAAACCCTAAAAGATTGGGCTCCATGCAGCCCTGCAATGGCAAACTTCCAAAATAACCTAACAGAAAGGAACAGGACTCTACACACAGACATACTCACACACACCCTCACTCCAGTCCCCTACAATCCCCTTAAGTACCTATGCAGGGGGAGGAGGCAGAGTAAGGGACAGCTCCCAGCAAAACCCAGGGGACAGCGCATGAGGTCTAAACACAAGACAGGATGACACAGGTTAGAACTGCGGAGTGCCTAACTCTGAGTTATTGAGACTTCCACATTCCCTACAAGCTGTTAAGGTCCTGGGAAACTAGACAGCCCCTAGGATGCTCCCTAAAAACCTGTATTTCCTGATCCCTGATAGACCACGTGTGGCCATGCTCCTCCTAAACACGAAATCGGAACCTAACCACCTCAGCCCTGCTCTTGCACAGTAGGGCTTCAGGAAATTACTTTTCCTCTCTTAGACTCAATGTTCACATCTATAAAATGGGAATTTCAAAATCTGCATTAAAGAACTTTTAGGACTAAAGACATGTAATCCAAATAAAGCTTTTAGAGCTATAACTGGCACATAGTAATGAAATTGACTGAGGTAGCATTCCTTTTGCTATTTTTTTTATAACTAAATCACTGGAAAAATCACAATAATTATTTCCTAAGAAAGGATAAAAGAGATTCTTCAATATGAAGCTAGCATGTTAATATCTCAGATCTAATTAGAAGAGAGTCTATCTTGTTAATTTTCTTCAGGTTACAAAAACTAATCCATATCATGTATAAAACAAAGAGAGAGCACACCACAAACATCTTGGGGTAACAAAAAGAAAAGATACTAACAAAACTGAAAGTAACCATAAACACACCCCAAGGGAGGGGGACACGCTGCCAAATTTTGATGTGATCATTTTTCAGTTTGGTTTTTTTTTTTTTTAATACAGTTTACTGTTTTGATGTTCATTTTGCTCACAATGCTGTAACGAAAACATTTGCCCATATTCTTAACTACTTTTTAACCTGAGGCTCACAAACAGTGTGGTGGTTAGGGCACTGGGCTCCCACATGGCCACAGTGGTTTAAGTCCCAGACCTGGCTTTCTCACTTTCCCTTCCTCTCTCCTTCTGTCTGTCTCTGGTCAAATCTTAAAAATAACAACAAATAACATGAAATAATTAATAATTCTTTTTTTTTTTTTGGAGAGATTTCCACTATGGGGCTCGTGCGCTCGCCAGAAAGACCGAGAGAGACAGAGAGACAGAAAGCGAGAAATCACCCCCCAGAGGGGATGGTCACAGCAATCCCTTCTCCTCCATTCTCCTCTCGGGATCTTGGGCACACACGCACACACACCCGGCGTGAGTTTTAAGCCACCGGGTCCGGGACGCAAACCGCGGTCTACTACATGGGAGTCCAGCGACATAGCCATTACGCTAACTGCTGGTTCCCAATAATTCTTTTTAAAGACAAATTATTCTTAACCATTATTTGTATCTTTTTAAAAATTTTATTATCATAATTTTTACATTATGTTTAATCACATGTATCTTTACAGCGTATTACATTTCTTTTTCCAGAATGGCTACCATGAATAACAGTCAAGACAAAGACATTGCTATCCACATCCTCATCAAATAGCTTTTCATCATTTCTTTCAGTTTATTATTATTATTATTTATTCTCATTATTTTTTAAAACATTTTATCACTATATATCATTTGACTTATAAAGAGAATTTACACAACATGAAATACTTCTCAGACCAGTCCAGTTGAGAGTACTATATGTGTTATCATCAACAGGTAATAAACCATTTCTGTGTCCCACTAATGCCATGCCTCTCTGTTTGCTCTCTTGCTATCCTTCTCTATACTCTTCCCTTCTCTCCCCTTCCCCCCGTTCCACACTGTCTTCGGCACTCATAACTATTTTCACTGTTTTTATGCCCTCCAAGATTTCGATCTCTACTATAGAATGCGGATAGTCGGTATATATTAAGTGGATATGCACAGTATCTTTCTTTCATATCCTGGCTTGGTTCACTTAGCAATACATCTTCCATATTTGACCACTTTCTATGAAATGCCAGGGTCTTCTTGTTTTGTTTTTGTTTTTATGCCTGAGTAGTATTCCATAGAGTATATGTGCCACACTTTTTCAATCCATTCATCAGTTTGTGGACATTTGTTTGTGGACATGCATGTCTTAGTGATCATGAATAATGCTGCAATAAACACTGATGTGCAAGGACTTTTCTGACTGAGCATTCTCCAGTCCTTTGGGTAGAGACCCAGAAGTGGGACTGCAAGATCAAATGGTAGTTCTATTTGTAGATCTTTGAGGAACCTCCATATTGTTCTCCACAGTGGCTGAACCAGTTTACATTCCCACTGACAGTGTAGGAGAGTTCCCTTTCACCACAACCCCACCAACAATTACTACTTTTTGTATTTTTAATCTTTGCCATTCTGACGGGGGTTCGGTGGTATCTCATTGTGGTTTTAATCTGCATCTCCCTTATGATGAGGGATGTTGAGCACTTTCTCATACACTTTTTGTCTGTTTGTATGTCTTCCTTAGAGAGATTTTTGTTTAGCTCATTTTCCCATCTTTTAATTGGGTTAGACATTTCTTTTTTTTTTTTTTCTTATTTTTTTGGGGGGCAGGGGGTAAGCCGCTTGAGTTCCCAGTGTATTCTGGTTATCAATCCCTTGTCTGAGGCATATTTGACAAAAATATTCTCCCATTCTGAGAGTTGTCGATCACACTAATTACTGTGTCCTTTGCTGTGCAGGAACTTCTTAATCTGATATAGTGCCACTTGTCTATTTTAGGGATTATTGCTCATGCTTTGGAGTCTTATTTAAGAAGTCTTTGCCTACCCCAATGTCTCTCTGAATTTCCCCAGTGTTTTCCACCAGAAGTTTTATAGTTTGAGGTCTTAGGTTCAGATCTCTGATCCATTTTGAGTCGATTTTTGTTATTGATGAAAAATGGGGATTCAGTTTCATCTTTCTGCAGGTGGATACCCAGTTTTTCCAGTACCATTCACTAAAAAAGGTTTTCCTTTTCCCAATGGACTGACTAGTATCCCTTGTCAAAAATCAGTTGGCTGGGGACCAGCAGTTAGCGTAATGGCTATATCGTTGGACTCCCATGTAGTTGACCGCAGTTCGTGTCCCAGACCTGGTGGCTTAAAACTCACACCGGGCGCGTGTGCATGTGCACCCAAGATCCCGAGAGGAGAATGGAGAAGGGAGCTTTCTGTCTCTCTGTCTCTGTCAGTCTGGCGAGTACATGCACCCTATAGCAAAAACCTCTCAAAAAAAAAATCAGTTGGCTGTAAGCTTTGGGGTTTATTTCTGGAGTGTCTATTTTATTTCATGGGTCCACCTGTCTGTTTTTGTGCCAATACCATGCTTTTTAAATTATCACAGCTTTATAGTATATCTTGGGGGCAGGGAGTGATATGCCAACCACTTCACTCTTCTTGTGCAGAATTGCTTTAGCAATACTTGGTCTTTTATGACTCTAGATAAATTCTATGATTGTCTTTTCTAGATCTGTGAAGAATATCTCTGGTATTTTGACTGGAATTGCATTAAATATGTAGATTAATTTGGGTAAAATTGCCATTTTGATTATGTTCATTCTTCCAATCCAGGAACATGGGATGTCCTTCCACTTCTTTATGTCCTTCTCATGATCTTTTTTAAGATATTCATAATTCTCTTTGTGAAAGTCTTTGACTTCCTTAATTAGGTTTATCCCTAGGTATCTTATATATTTTGTGGCTATGGAAAAGGGATTCCTTTCTTCAGCTCTACTTTGTTCAACTTGATGTTTGTATATGGATATGCTATAGATTTTTGGATGTTGATTTTTGTATCCTGACACTTTACTGTATTCATTTATTACTTTGAGAGTTTTTTCGCAAAAACCTTTGAGTCTAAGTATACCATCATGTCATCTGCGAATAAAGCTATTTTCAATTCTTCTTTTCCAATTTGAACGCCTTTTATATTGCTCTCTTTTCTGATTGTATTGGCTAAGACGTCTAGCACTATATTAAAAAGCAGTGGAGAAATTGAGCAGCCTTGTCTGGTACGTTTTTAGTATAATGCTAGCTATAGGTTTTTCATATATGACTTTGCCCAAGATCCCGGGAGGAGAATGGAGGAGAAGGGATTGCGGTGTGACCATCCCCTCTGGGGGGTGGTTTCTCGCTTTCTGTCTCTATGTCTCTCTCTATCTGTCTGGCCAGCGCACGCGCCCTACAGTGAAAAACCTCTAAAAAAATAAATAAATAAAAAATAATAATAATAAAAAAATAATAAGAAGAAGAAATGACCCTTCTATACCAGACTTACTAAGAGTCTTAATCATGATGGGATGTTGTGTTTTATCAAATGCTTTCTCTGCATCAATTGAAATGATCATATGGTTTTTATCTTTCTTTCTGTTAATATGGTGTATTATATTTATGGTCTTGCATACAATGAACCACCCTTGCATCCCTGGAATAAAGCCTACCTGGTCGTGATGAGTAATCTTTGTTACATGTTGGATACAATTTGCAAATATCTTGTTGAGAATTTTTGCATCTATATTTATCAGAGATATTGGTCTGTAGTTTTCCTTTTTTGTAATGTCTTTATCTGTTTTGAGAATGAGGATGATGGGGGTTTCATAAAATGAATTTGGGAGGTTTCTTTCCTTTTGAATCTTTAGGAATAATTTGAGTAGGATAAGGGTTAACTCTTCCTTAAAAGTTTTGTAGAATTTAGAAGTGAAGCCATCTGGACCTGGGCTTTTCTTTGTCGGGGGGGTTATTTATTACCAATTCAATCTCATGCCTTTTCAAGGGTCTATTCAGGTTTTCTATGTCCTCCTGATTCAATCTGGGTAGCTTATATGCATCCAGGAATTTGTCCATCTCCTCCATGTTCTCTTGTTTGTTGGTATATAGACCATTCTTGGTTTCTTTAAGGATTCTATGAATCCTAATTGTTCATGGTATATTTCCTTCTAAAAATAATTCTATGAATCCTAATTGTTCATGGTATATTTCCTTCTAAAAATAATTCCATTCTAGTGTCCCTGTTCTGAAAGTCTTCTGGGACTACAATTAACAAAATTCCAAAATAAATTTTTAAAACACCTTTTCATTTTTAAGAAAGGTTCATTTTTGTAGGAAATCTATCTCTTAAATATAATCTTTCTACTTTCTTGCTTCCTATTTATTACTCTAGGTTATAGAAAAGAAAGACTGACTCTCAAACAACAACAACAAAAAGACAAACAAAAAAAAAAACAAAGTCTAACTATTTTTACAATAGAAAAGGTAGGTGAAAGCAAATGGCATGGTGGTTAAGGAGCTGGACTCCCACATGGCCAGCCATGGTTCAAGTCCTGGACCTGGTAGACTGAAGAAAATCACCCCAGGTGTGTGTGCATACATGTCCAAAAATCCCAGGAGGAGAAGGGATTACGGCGTGGCCATTCCCCTGGGGAGTGATTTCTCACTTTATCTCTCACTGTCTTTCTCTAGCAATTGTACACACACTATGGTAAAACCTTAAAAAAAAAAAAGGAATTCATCCTCAACTTCTCATTTTGCAAGAAATTACAGGGAGGACAGCACACACAGAGATTCTGATCCATCTATTGTGTGTCGTTCTCCACGAGTCTGTCACAAAGCTATCAAACCAGATAAACGTTGCGAAACTTACCCTGAGCAGCTTTTCAAAAAGGACACTTCTAAGATCAACTCATGTGTTGAGGGGAGAAACGTAACCACCTGAACAACATCGCTATGGTATAGCCCCAATAGAAAGCACATATTTTCCAAAGACAGTGGCAAAGGCCGAGAGCAACGGTGAATGCCAACCTTATTAGTCACTGTGGATAAAATGTAGGGGGTTCCATTTGAACCAAAAGCCTTGCTGGGGATAAAAATCAAGATGCAAAGTTAACAGAGGAGAAATTTATTATCATTTAAATACCACAAATTGAAAGCGGCATGCTCTCTTGTCTGTCCCATGCCAAATAGACTTAGTTACCTTAAAACTTACTCTCAGAGCTGTCAAGAAAGTGCAAGAAAAGCCACCAGGTGGCAGAATTTCCTGAGCCTCAACTAGAGGAAGCGCAGCTTGTTATACCCAGAACTGACCAGAAGGTGGCAACATAGCCTTAGTTTTCTCAGATATCAACCTGGCCTTCATTTAAGGCTTTTCAGAAACCAAATGAATGAAAAATACAGATTTCAAACATCACTTTACACAAGAAACCTTTCATTTCCTTACATTCTGAATGTTGATCTGTAATTCCATTTTGTAGTGATTGAAGTCTTTGGCAAGCTCATGGCCCTGATGGTAGAAAGTAAACATTCCCTGAAAAAACGACAGCATCTAAAACGAGGGGAAAAGAGGGACATTATTAGTGCGCGCACATACTGAAAACAAAACAAAACAACGCTGCAGGGGAGCATCGTATAAACAGTCAAGTGTTTTCCCCCATCTCACTGTCACTCCACTGAAGTAAAGGAATTAAAAGGAAGTTGCAGGTATTCAAGTCAATCTAAGTGCACAGTACTGAGTAACTGGTCTTCACAGAAAAAGAATCTTTTTTTGTCTTAAACATCAAAGCCATTAGACAATTTTTACAGTGTAGTCTAATGGAGAAATGGGTCTCTAAGGCATCCATCCGGCAGTCCTCTTAAGTCAAGAGGATCCTAATATTTATTTGTAGTCAAAATCTTATCACTAGAGGTCACTCCATCTATAAGTAAAATCACAAGGACCAGCAGGTGGTGTAGGGGTTAAGGCACTGGACTCCCACCTGGCTAGACTGTGGTTCAAGTGCCAGACCTGGCTTGAAAATCCAAATCCCTTCTCCATTCTCTTCTTGAAATTTTGGGCACACACACACACACACACACACACACACACACCTGGCATGACGCAGCATGGCCATCCATCCTGAGAATGATTTCTCACTTTCTCTCTCTGCCTCTCCAGCAAGTTCACGTACCCTATGGCAAAAATCTCCCTTCCCCACCTCCTTAAAAAAAAAAGTAAAATCTGGGACCGGCAGGTGGCTTGGTCGTTAAGGGTGCTAGACTCCTACTTGGTTAACCATGGTTCGAGTCCCGGATCTTGCAGCTTGATTTCTTATTCCCTCCCACCTCACTCTGTCCCTCTCTGGTCATATTAAAATAAATATAAATGAAGTTAAATAAAATAATTCTTTTAAGAAAAAAAAAGAAAGAAAGTAAAGTCGAAATGTTCAGAGCTCTCCCATGGTAGCCAGTGCAGTGCTACCCCCTGGTCTGTCGATAAGCCCTGGGACCAGCAGTTAGCATAATGGCGATGTTGATGGACTCCCACATAGTTGACAGACCTGGTGGCTTAAACGCACGCCGGGCGCATGTGCATGCATGCCCAAGATCCTGAGAGGAGAATGGAGAAGAAGGGATTGCGGCATGTCCCTCCCCCCGGGGGGTGATTTCTGGCTTTCTGTTTTTCTGTCTCTGTCTTTCTGGCGAGTGAGCACATGCACCCTAAAAAAATAAATAAATAAATTTTTAAAAACTCTCAAAAAAAAAAAAAAATTAAGCCCTGAGTTTTCTACCAGCTCCTCACCTGCCCTTCTCAACTAGAGGGCGCCACTTCTACCCTACAAGCAAGGAAATTCAAAGCAGGCAGAAGAGATCTGGGAGAGAATGAGAAAATCCTGGAATGCATTTCCTCCAGAATGCCCCGTGGTGCAATGGTCAGGAACTCAAGCTCTGACACTGAACAGCCAATAGATGGATTCCAGCTTCAGCAAGGGCTGGTTCCATGACCTTGGCTACACTGGTAAAACTCTCTACTTCGCGTTCCTTATTTATGACGTGGGGTAATACTAAGGTATTGAGACACGGTACGGAATACATGAGTGAGCACAGTACAGAACTTAGAAAAACTACCTGAACCCTGACTAAGCACTGTAAATGCCCAATAAATGGAGCTCGTTGTTATTATTTCACAGTAAAAAAGGCAAGGTTTAAGGAGCCTTGTTTTCCTCTAATTGAGCGTAATTCTGTTATTCCAATTAGACCACAGCTCCATGAATGGTTTGGTTTGGTTTAGTTTTTAATCTCTTTCAGAGGGTGTGTATACTAACTAAAGAGGAACCAGAAAGCCCTCCCCCGTGGGGCGTGGTCACACCGCAATCCCTTCTCCACTTCTCCTTCCTTTCAGGATTTTGGGCCGCACACACATATACCCAGAATCGTTTTCGTTTTCTTTTTCTGGCCAATTAAGTAAAATATTTACTATTGGCTCTTTAGAGAAAGTTTGCTGACTCCTGTCTTATGGTGCTGGACACATTCTGGGTAGCAGACTGCCTATGACAGAGTAGAAAACCCTGTCCTTCTGGAAGGAGGGCCTAAGGACCCAACATAGTTTTCCAACTGCCAGGTCAAGGACTCAAATCACGCAAACCACCATGTAAGATCCAGCCACTTTAACCACCAGCCCACAGCTGGGCCCAATGCACGCTCATTTTTTATTTTATTATTATTTCATTTCTCAAAGTCACCATGGGTAAATTGTATAGTATGTAAATTATATTTCAATAAAACTGTTTGAAGAAAAATAGCACACAAAAGGTCTGTTAAAATTAAAATGAATGTTAATCTTGAGAATCATGAATTTGTTTCTTTTTTTTGCTACAGCAAAAGTATGAAATAGCCTTTATGTTTTAATCATAAACATATACTCATTAGTGTTCGTGTATATTAATATATAAAAGTGAAGCTACTAGAAAACATCTGTATAATCACAAAAATCCTCCATGTCTAATACAAGCATAAGGACATTCTACAACTTAAGTCATTGTTTTAAGTGTTTTACATACTGGTCTCCACTGAGGTTGGCATAAGCCTTGCCAGATTGTGTTAGAAGCAATGTTATAAATAATCGTTTAAACTTCTCAAGTTTGAACTGCATACTTGCTTTAGAAGTCAACTTGAGTAAAACTATCCCTTAAAAACCATCCACTGACATACTAAAATAAATAATATAACGTCTTTCAAAAGGATCCTTTTACTTTAATCTACCACAGGATGCATGCATTCACCAGAGAGAGACAAAAAAAAAGAGGGAAAGTGGGAAAGCGCCCCCCCCAAGGGGGATGGCTACCCCACAGTTCCATCTCCTCTCTTCTCCGCTCTGGATTTCCGGCATGAACACACACTCGCCCAGCATGTTTCCCAAGCCACTGTGTGTGGGATTCAAACAGCATAAGTCAGCCATGTGGGGTCCACCTGCCTCAACCACCATGCCCCCAGGTGGCCCAAGTGGGCTTTCTAAAGTATGGAACGAAGACTAAGATGTCAGAAATCGCATCCAACTGCAGGAATAGCATCCACGGCACGCTGCTGTGTAAATAACTCCTGCTACCAAGGGCATTCCTTGACTTTCAGGCTGTGTCCACTGGCGTCTATGTCTTCTCTATGTTTCTAGGCTACAGCCTTCGATAACCATAAATGAGATCCAGGAAGGCGAGAACTTGTGTTCTACCACAAAATCCCGCTTGCGGACGGCGCGCCATCATACTCACAGGTTCCACAAACTCGAACTTCTTTCTTTCCTGGATTTCCTGAAGCTTACATACGTATTCCAGGGACAGTTCATAAAAGTGCTGCCGGTTTTGTTCCACTTGGATATCTGCCTACATGAAAATAACCGAGGTTAGTCAAACCAGAGACGGGGCCGAGGGGAACCCCTATCAGAGGTCGGCAAACCTGTTTTTATAAGGACAGTTGTGCTGGAACATGGTTCAATCATTAGTTTATGCTGTTTATCTGTTGATTTATCTCTGGCAACTTCCTGGCCTCAGCAGCAGTAATCGAGCACAAGGATGCAACAGGGACGCTGGGATCCACAAAACAGTGACGATCAGACTCTGCTTAAAAAGTCTGCCAACCCCTGCTCTATAGGTTGAGGTTCACTCCTCGGGGACTGAAAATCAGACACTGAGGCTCCCTCCATAAAATACTTGCCCCGACCACAACTGAAGCCTAAGGCTGAACCACACACAGGCTCGTAAAATTTAAATCACACAAACATCATTTCTATCAATGAAGTCTGGAAGGATGGCAGAGGGGACTGGGAAAACTCCAGCTGTCTGAGCACACAGAGAGTAAGTGACAGCAACAGGTGAAGAAGTGGTGACAATGGTACCTTTTCAGGGGCCTGGTTCTCCAAGGCGGGTCAAGACTTGAAACCTGTGTGTGGCAGTCACGCGCCCAAGCCCTCCCTGTGTCTCATCTCCTGGCAGTGAAGGGGGTACCAGCTAGTCAGGAGACTTCCGAAAAATGGTCCCATTATACCTAGCTTCACTGTAAAGGAATTGAGAAAGGAGCACAGTTCTACGAAAGAAGAGTGAAGAAAGAATTTTCATCTTATAAGCCATTCTTACATCTTCCGATGGGAGTGCGAAGTGGTGCAGCTGCTGTGGAGAACAGTTTGGCAGTTCCTCAAAGCATGAAAAACTGAATTACCGTATAATTCAGCAACTCCATTCTGGGTAAAAACTCCAAAGAAACAGACATGGGGATTCAAAGAGATATTTGTATATCCGTGTTCATAGGAGCATTATTCACCACAGTTAAAAGATGAAAACACCCCAGGTATCCATGCACAGAGGGATACACACGATGTAGTGTGGGCATACAATGGAATATTACTGAACCCTACAACGGAAGGAAATTTTGCAACATGCTCAAACATGGATGAACCTTCAGAATATTACGCTAAAGGCAATAAACCACAGAAAGACAAATACTCTAGGATTCCCTTACACACAATAGTTAGAACAGTCAAATTCATAGAAACAGAAAGCAGAATGGTGGTTGCCAGGGGCTAAAGGGAGGGAGAACAAGATCTCTCCAAATTTCTCATCTGCAGTTTAATTATCTTTGGGATTGATGAACAGCCAAGGTCCTAGCTCACTGACGCACCTTCACATTCGCTCACTCAAACACAAACCTCACGGCAGGTCTTATTTTAGGCCCTGCGGATAGACTATTGACCCAAACAGTGTCATTGCCTTCTGGGAGTTTGCATTCTGGTAGAGGCCATGAATGAACACACACAGAGCACATGAGCATGAAAAAACATGACACCAAAGTCAAAGTGGACGTTAAATAAGATGGTCAAGAAACATTTCTAATAAGATAACTTGTAAGTACAGAATATTTGAAGGAGTGAGCCATGTACAAACACATGGGTAGAGGGAAGAATAAATGCAAAGGCCTGCAGAAGGAGGGTGCTGGTGCCAAGTGGGGCGGGACAGATCATGTGGGATCTTGTGGGCCCTGGAGCCTCTGGAGGTAGCCATTAGGGGGACTAGGAGAAGAGGAGGTCATGAGAAGTGGCATGTTCTGAGCATAGCCCAGACCTAAAAACGACATGCTGACAGACGGGATGTGGGGTATAAGAGAAGGGCCAGGGAGGACTCCAGGAGTGTGCCTAAGCAATGCTCAGAATGAGTTACCTCATTAGAAAGTAAGTGAATATGGAAATCTACTTGGGGCATAGCAATCCACTTCAGGACACCTGAAAATAGAAACCAGGGAGAACAGAGGGAGGAAGCTGCTGGCATAAAGGTGAGAGCCTATAAAAGCAACAGCTGTCACTTCAGAACTGACAGACGGTGGGAGATGAAGGAGTGTATGTAACACCGCATGCTTTCCTACATTATATGGAACGAGGAGAGAATGGAGCCTACCTAAAGTATTGTCATGAGGATTAAGTGACATGAAAGCTCCTGTCTCTTTTATAAACTGTCAGGCTCCATCCAAATGTCAGTCAAAGGTATTAGTGAGACAAAAGAAAATGTCATTTGTAGATAATGTGACACCAACCCCCCATACACACACAGAGTTTGCAGCTAAGTGTTTGCCACTTAAATATAACCCAGGTTTATGCTAGAGTCCACGCCACTAGTAACACTCTGGTCAGGCTTCAGTAAGTGTGTACATTAGGTCCAGACGCCCTGAGTATTACAAAACAAACGAGAAAAGGAGATCGCACTTCTGTGGGATGAGTCAAGAGCTGACAAGTGCAAACACCATCGTTTTCCATGAAATTTTATATTCTGAACTGTAAACAATAAGTTTCTGTTCTGTCTGTGAGGAAAAAAAAAAACTGGCAGAGAACTTAGAAAAAAATAGTTAAAATAAGCAATTAAAATAAGCATTCCTTTCTCCTTATTTGTGGTTAATTCTCCAACCCCACCAAAAAAATCTCTTAACACAAAACAGATGTCCTCTTTTAACAAAGATGAACAACCTGAATCCTCAGTGTTAAATAAGATTAACGCTGCCTTCACAAAAAAAAACAAAATAGTATATGAGCTTATTCAATTCAATTTATTTCTTCAAGAAATCTTGAAAGCCACTTAATGGATCTGTTTCTGCAACTAATATATCTGTTCTTCAGCAGGCTGATTAAAATTATTGTTCCTGTGAAAAATACTCAGAGCCCAAAATTTTCCTACTAGGAATCTGTATTTAACGAATCACTAGAAGATATACTCATTATTTTGTGTCATTTCTTAAGGATTCCTTTTTCCTAATTCATTAATTACTTGTTCATTTTTTTTTCAATCTCTGTATCATGTTGGATGACAAATGTTCAAAGTAAAGCACATTCAAAAATAGACATGTATTATTGTAAACTACAGAAACAAGCTAACAGAAAAATAAAAAGAATACCTCTTGTAAATGTGAGTCTTTCTTTTTGGCTGATAAATTAAGATGTTTATCAATTAGGCTGTAATTCTTTTCTGTCTCTTTGTCAAACTTCTTTTTTTCTTCCTACAAATCAGAAAAACAGACAATTATAATTGAACAGGAAAAAAATGTATACCCACATTAATCCACTAGAAGGCCCAACACATGAGAAATATGTGAAAATGAAAGCAGCACTGAACGCAATGAAGTGTTCTGCACCCTGGCCACTGCGCGTTCATGATCGGGACAGCATCCAGATCAAAGAGACACTTCGTTTTCCTTTAATGTGCATTTCCCCAAGCCTGTTAATTTTCCAACTCTTCGTATTTATCAGCATTAAGGATTAACACTATATGTCACTTGTCCTTCACAAATTGGGGGGAATAAAAGAATAATAAGAAACTAATGCTCAAAAAAACAAACTTGAGAGACCAGCAGACAGCATAATGACTATGTCACTGGACTCCCACGTAGTCGACCACAGTTCAAGTCCCAGACCCAGAGGCTTAAAACTCACGCCGGGCGCATGTGCATGTTTGCTCAAAATCCTGAGAGAAGAATAGAGAAGGGATTGCAGTGTGGCCATCCCCCCCCCCGGGGGTGAGTGATTTCTCGCTTCCTGTTGCTGTCTTTCTGGTTAGTACATGTGCCCTATAGCAAAAATCTCTTTAAAAAAAAAAAAATGCAAACTTGCTCCAGATTTGGCATTAAAATGGAATTCATTTAAAATTAAATTCATTTTGCTCTAGGTTGAAAAACAATCTTAATGCTGTTAGAAAAAGCATCTTGGGAAAGAAGCTCTTACCTTAGCCGGACAGGAATGTAACAATCAGATCCTTTGAACAATAATAACGTCATCTATTTTCTCAAACCTTACCAGTGATTTCTATAACACTCGGTAGAACAAGTACCAACAGGTCCACAGGGCCTAAAATAATTCTGACATATGACATTGAGATGCTTTGGTTTAATACTAGAAGCAGTTCTTGTGTACTGCCTAGAACTAGTGCTTGTTTTCCTTTTGTTTTGAAAGCTTTTTGATACAAATTTTTGATAACCAATTTTTAAATGCAGAAGAGAAAAATTCCCTCACTTAAAGCTAGTTGCCCTCTTGGCAGATTTGTATATCCCTTTATTCATGATAGAGCATGTGTGCATGCATGAGAGTGAGAGGCCAAGAGGAGCACCCTTCAGAAAATTGGGTCATGCTGGGAGCCTCTTCCTCCAGGCTTCAAGCCCGTCAGATCTTGGGCAGTTGAGGCATTCTCAGAGTGCTGTGTCAGGGATTCGAACTGCAGTTGCCGTGTGGCATGCAGCTTCTCTTAAACAGTGCATTACCACTGTGCCATTTAGCCAGCCCAGAATTTCAATCAACACTGTAGGTATCAATGAGGATATGTTATGTCCAGAGTCTGGTCATGCCCAAAATCCCAGGAGAAGAAGGGATTGTGCTGTGGCCAGCCCCCTTCCCTTGGGGGACGATTTTTCACTTTCTATCCCTGTCTCTCTGGTAAGTACACATGTCCTATAGCAAAAACCTCTCCAATAAACAAATAAATAAACCACCTGGTAATATAGAATCTATGTTTGCTTTAGTAAAAAATACCAGCAATTTTTTCTGCACTAGCTCACTCTTAGATGCAATCCTAAAATTCTTCAATCATATAGTTCACCTATGAGTGACAAAGGAACCAAAAAAATAGGCAATTAGGCAATTATAGTCTAACCACTTTTACTTAATAAGGCATTCTTTTGTTGAAACAGAGCACTGTATTTGCACGTATGCCTTAGATTTCCTTTCATTTACAACCATTTTTTTAAACTCCAACACTCTGTTTACTCTCTCTTCTACTTTTGATTATTATGCTCTTGATTCATTCTTTTCATGACTAACAAAAAAGAAACTCAACATATACCTACCTACCTACCTACCTATTACTTCAAAATATCTACTGTTTGGGGGCCAGGAGGTGGCGTGGTGGTTAGATCAGCTGGACTCCCACAGGGCCGACTGCAGTTCAAGTCCCTGACCTGGTGCCTTGTTTTCTCTCTCTGATGAGTACACATGTCCCACAATAAATTATAAAATAATAATAATAATAAATAAAATTAAATAAAAACTTATGGGGGGAAGGAGGAATCTACCAGTTAAAAAGCTGACACTATGAAGTGCCCATAGAACTCAGTGTCTGAAGAGTTCATTCTAGGCCTGGCTAATGTACTCTGTGACTTTATCCTGGGCTCACAGCATTCTCTGAGTCTCAGTTTTTCAGATTTAATTTTTTTTTATTTGGTGGGGGGAGGTTTTTGCTATAGGGCATGTGCGTTCGCCAAAAAGCGTGTGTGCTCCCCAGAAAGAGAGAGACAGAGAGACAAGAGAGCGAGAAATCACTCTCCAGGGGGGATGGCCACACCACAGTCCCTTCTCTTCCGTTCTTCTCTTGGGATCTTGGGCATGCATGCACATGCACCCAGAGTGAGTTTAAGCTGCTGGATCTGGGACTCAAACCACGGTTGACTACTTGGGAGTCCAGCGAAGTAGCCATTATGCCATCTGCTAGTCCCTCACTGACTACATTTTCAAAGGTTCTTATTTGGTTGCCAGTTCTTTGTATTTTTATCTATCTCAATTTCATAATTTTTTGATCTCACATGGAGTTTTTCCTATTCTAAACAGAGAATCTAATGCTGCTTTAAAAATTACTTTCAAGGGCCAGCAGGTGGCATAGTGGTTAAGGCTCTGGACTCCCACATGGCTACCCATGGTTCAAGTTCTGAACCTGGTGGCTTACTTTCTCACTTTCCCTTCCCCTCTTTCTGTCTCTCTCTGGTGAGAACATGTGCCCTATAACAAATTAAAAGAATATTAGTAATAAAATAAAGTAATTCTTAAATTATTCTCAGATTGTACAAATTACTTTTTTTCTTTTAAAGGTTTTTGTCATAGAGCATGTGTGCTCACTGGAGAGAGAAAAACAGTAAAAGGGAAAGTAAAAGATCATCCCCCCCACCCCAGATTAGAGGGCGATGCTGTAGTCCCTTCTCCTCCATTTTCCTCCTGGAATCCTGGGCACAAATGCATGCATGCCCAGCATAAATTTTAAGCTGCCAGGTCCAGGACTTGAACTGCTGTTGGCTATAGGGGAGTCTATCACCTTAACCACTGTGCCACCTACTGGCCCTAAATTACTTTTTACTTACAATGAGTTTATCTATTGATTGTTATTTATTTATTTATTTTTTGTTTTCTCAGTGCTTGGAATGACATTGAAATCACAGGTCAATTTTGAGAGAATTGAAAACTTAACTATATCAAATACTTTTTTTTTTTTTTCCGGAGAGGATTTTTTTAGCTATCAGGCACATGCATTCGCCAAAAAGACAGAGACAGAGAGAAGAAAGTGAGAAATCACCCCCCCCCCCGGGAGGATGGCCACACCGCAATCCCTTCTCCTCCATTCTCCTTTTGGGATCTTGGACACGCACGTACACGCACCTGGCGTGAGTTTAAGCCACCAGGTCCGGGCCTCGAACCATGGTCAACTACATGGGAGTTCAGCGACATAGACATTACGCAAACTGCTGGTCCCCTCAGGTTTAATTTTAAAGAATAGGCCCAGCCTGCTGGTTGCAAAGAGCTGTGGCACTGTGGGCCGGGTTCCCACCAGGTGCCTACAAGTATGTTCAGGACCCTGACGAGCTGGAAGGCTGGTGGAGGGTGCTTTGCTTGTACACGCGTGTGCACAGACACATGCATGTGTACTCATATCATGATTTTTTAATCTAAATAAACAAATGAATAAAATGGGAATCAAAGTCATGCCTCTGCATTTACCACCAGACTGCTGAAAATCGAAATCATACAGTGAGAAAGGTTCACCATCTTTACAGACCAGTACGAACAAGGAATAGAGAAAGTATTTTTGCTAACGTACTTGGTTTTCATCTGATTCACAGAAAGGGACAAAGACAGGAGTGATGCTGAGATCAGCAGACAAAACTCCCAGCGCACTTGGTTGTGGTGGGGTTCGTAAGTTACTGTGTGGGAAAAGTCCGGAATGAAAGAAAATGGTTGTATCAAGGCATTGTAGAGAAAAAATCTAGCCAAGAAACGACAAGACACCCACCACATGGGCCAGAAATGCATTCATTCATACGTGGTATGGTGTTATACAACTGCTGTTGTGTTTGGTTTTTCCATTTTTTCTTCCTGCATTTGTTCTTCATGTTCTTATAGATTATTATAATTGACCATCTGTGTCTTTGTGCTCATGTGATTTTCTTGTGCTGAAATAATATAAATGTCCAAGGAAACAATATTCAAGTGGCATTTTAAAAAGAACGGAGCGAAGTTGATTTCCACCACGCCGTTACGGAAAATACATTTAACATAAATTGAGTAGCGTAACAAAAAATTCCATCAAGGGTGATATAAAATACAATGTGAAATGTTCCCTATAAAACATTAAGTTGCAAACTCAAGGGAGCCTGGGCCAGGCAGTACCATGAGGGGAGTGGGCGGGGAGGGAAGGGCGGGAAGGCACAGTGCAGGCCAGCAGACCAGCAGGGGCCTGTCTTCCCCGGGAGGGGAAGGGGCCAGGACTCAGCACCCCGTGGATTCCTGCCATGCAGGAACACAAGCCCACATAAAGGCCAGGTCTCCCAATTTGCCTAAAACTGCTGAAAAACCTAATCGTTTTTAAAATGAGGCAAGAAGTTTTTTAAACGTAAGAACTTGAAGCAAAACAAAATTTATGTTTACAGATTAAGTGACTCATAGAGAGATGGCTTGTAATGGGTTATAAAATTACGTGTGCCAAAAAGAAAGAAAAAAAAAAAAAGGAAAGCCCTACTAATTAAAGCAGCACCCTCACTCAAACAAAACACACGTGAACCCAGCACAGGGAACTCCTGGGCCTAAAAACCACAGCTCAGATCATCGGCTCTTTTAAATATGACTAGAAATCATATCAATATAAAAGTACCATTCAAAAAAAAGTACCATTATAATACCTGGGTGAAAATATATATATGATCCAACTAAATGGGCTAGGATAATTGTTTAACTACTGGGAAAAAGAAAA